TTTTAAGGTCAAACTAATTAACTCTCACTTGTCCTATGGTCCCTTATTTGTCTCAAATACAAATGAGGCCCCCAAACAAAAGATAACCAGGTAATTCAATGAATTCACCTTGGGGCAGTTCTAATTCTTAAAAGTGTATATTTGCCCTTCCTATACCCCAATTCCTCTCAGGTATAAGAGGGCCTGAGACGAGTCTCTTCCACTGCTTCCTTTGTAAGTTTTCTCAAAGGTTGATCAGAGCTTGAATTTCCCAGAATGATGGAGCCAGAAGGAACTCAGGAATCCAAAAGCTCCTCACTTTACATGTGAGACCCTTGAAAGAAAATGACTTACAGTCTCTGGGTTTCTCAATGAGGTCTTCTTAGTTGCAAGTGACAGAAGCCCAGCACGGGACATTGACTTGAATACCTACATGAATTATTATACAAAATTCTCAAGACCTTGGTGAGGGCAGGTGAGGCTGCAGCCAGACCCCAGGACACTGGGTCCACAACTCTCACGACACCAGGAACTTCTCTATTGTCCATAACCACCACTTAATATCAGTTTTATTTTCTTCCTACACCTACTTCTTTCACAATATGGCCACTGGTTGTGTCCACACTTTACATATGTTCCAGATTTTCCACTACAAAGGAGATGGAGTTTACTTGCCAAGTTTAAAAATATCCCAAGGAAGTCCTCTGGCATCATCTGGCCATGGGCTGGGGCACCTGCTTTGCCTGGTGCTGGTCAGGTGTGTGCTCAGGCCAATCTCCAGAGACCAGAAAGCTGAGATCTGCGGGGAGATGGAGGTATTCATGTGAATCCCATAGTTAGAGTAGAAAAGAGCTCTTCCCAGATGAGAGGGGAGGCTATTCTGGAAACATAAAAGAATAGTCTCTCCATCCTTCCAAGAAGAATCAGAGAAATTCCCACCACACTGTGCTTTGGGGAATCCACAGAGGTGGTGACTGTGCAGTGACTCAGAGGGGCCACATGTGGGGAGCTCTGCACTCCCCACGTGTGCTTACAGCCTGCCCAGGTTCATGCTTATATCCTGCCTGCGTGTCTAGTTGCCATCAACATGGCACTAGAAAGACAACTGTTTGGTGATTTCTGTAAGTTTTATGCCTGCTCTGCTGGGGTCCATGAAAATACAGCCAGTTTCTCTCTGGCTACTCCATCTTCCTTCACCGTGGCACCTGTACCACAGTTTTCAGTTGCCTGCCTGGACCACGTCTGGCACTCAGCCCCTCTCCCGCCACCACCTCAAGTGCCTGCCAACATGTGGTTTCCTCCAAAGAGAACTCCAGTGCCAGAGTCAGGTCCTCCAGAGGCTGTGGAGAAGGAAATTGCTGGAACCATGGTCTCCCACCTCCTGGAGCAAGTAGTGGGCCCCCAAAATCTTTGGGGTCTGGGGCAAAAGGTTGCGAGAGTCTCATAAAGCTACCATAGAGACCATGGTCCCAGGCAGAGTGTTTTATACTCACCAGCCCTTTGTTGAGCTGGATATCCAAGATCATCTCTCCAGAAGGCTTATTCATCCTCCTTTTGTTGTAGAGCAACCCCGATACAAAACGGGGTGCCTGACTGTGGGTCCTCACCCGCGCGCTTAAAAGGACTTATCAATGCTCTACTGCAGGCACACGCGAAAGGTTAATAAAAGGTTTATTTACAAAGGGAAGGGGAAATGAGGAAATGTACAGCTCTGGGAGAAAAGTGGGAGACAAAGTTTTAAATGAGTCCTACCCGATCCGCCGATTAGGAATCCCAAAATGGCACCCTGAGAGCTGGCCGCCAGCTAGGAGCGGTGAAGCCAGGAGGCGAGCGATCACGAGCCAGAGAGCCCAAGGCCCATGTGTTTGGTTTTTTATATCCAACCTGGCTGCCCAACTCCGCCCTCAGGTCCCAGCCACCCTCCCTTGGTGGTGATGGGATTTGTCTTTCCCAGAGTCTTGATGGCTTTAGTCTGGAGTGGGGGTGGAGTCCACAAAGCCTGTATGGGATTAACTCAGGACATCACTTCCCCCTAACACTTTGGGATATTACAGCCACATTCCAAACCTTCCAGTAAATGATGTTTTCTGATCTGATAGCCTGATATTCCCTAAGCATGTAGATCCAATATCAGATTTTTGAAAAATTTTCAATCAGGTATAGATTTTCTACTAAACCAGGATTTGGAGGGATTAAAATGACAGGAAAAAATCATAATTTGCTTTATTTGAATGATTTCAACACCAAGTATAATAAGATGCAAGGAAATACTAATACCCATTTGCAACCAGGTTGGGTGCTCTTGCTATTAACAACGATGCTTTAAGATTCTCTAATTTAAAAAGTTCCCTCCCTTCCATCCATAGGAAGAGCGCACTTTTCAAACTCCCCCTGAGATCTCTCCAGGTTCAGGCTGGACCAAGTCCTCTATCCAAGACTGAGGCTTCAGTGGCCACCAGTTCACACAGATGCTTCAGTTTGCATTCTCCTCAAACACAAGTCTTTAATTACCTGCTCAGAATTTAATCAGAAGTCCATTTAACCAGAATTTAATCAGAAGTCCAAATCAGAGGCATTCACTTTTCTCTTTAGACCTGGCGACTCTGTTAGTGGGTCCCTTTCAATCATGTTCTTCCTGTCTTCTGGCAGATTCTCTAAGAAGGCAAACAACTCCGCTCTTATTCACACAGACCATATTGTCTTTCTCGATAAGGAGGAAACTTCATAACTAACCCAAGCTTTCTAACTACTTTCTTTACTTTTCCCACCATCCACAACATAGTTGACACAGGAGCTATTTATTAATCATCCCCCTTGGTGGAGATATTCATTTTTCTACCTGATTTGGTATTTAGACAACCCACTATTAAAGAGATCAAATATTTCTTTCAAGGGCCTCCCCGGTGGCGCAGCGGTTGAGCGCTGGGTTGCGAAGCTGCGCGAGGCCTCTGCGGCGCCGGTTCGATCCCCGGCTGCTCCCCGGCCACCAGAGGAGGGTCCCACATGGCGCGCAGACCTCTCCTGCCGCCCGCTGCTCCCCTCAGCAGTGTACTTCGGTCCTTCTGCCTGCTCTGCTCCCCGCTCTGGCTCTGGTGAATTCTCTCGCCCTCCCGCGCTTCTGACTGTACCCAGTGCATGTATAAACAAAACAAACAAAGAAACCAGCAAACAAATAAATAAAAGCATGCCTCTATAAAAAAAAAAATATTTCTTTCAAAATTATAATATATATATATATATATATATATATTCTAAAACATCCTGCCTTCTAGAATAAATGTAATGTCTTTGAAGAATTAGATGTTTTATTTTGCTGTAAGTGATCTTAAGTTGAATATTCTTTGGCTACCTTCATCCTGAATCTTCTACCCTCCTTTTATCTGCTGCTTCAGATTTAAAACCCTGTTCCCAGAACTCCAGATGTGACACAGCCTTTTTGGCTGACTGGGTGTGGAGTCAATCTCTATTTGTAAGATAATGCCAGCCTCTGTTCCCTGCCTATGACTGTTTATCCTGCTCCTATACCTGTGATCTTGTTTTTGGGTAATGCAAGAAAAAGAAAAATGGACTTCTAAGAATAAGGATTAAAAAAAAAAATAGAAAATGATGAGTAGGTCAGGGCTATCCCTTCTAGTGTCTTGAGTTTAATGGAGGCAGCTACAGTCAAGAGCCAACCCACTGTGAGGGCTTTGGAGCAGGCTGAGTACTCAGGCAACCCAGGACTTTCTCCTCCTACCCTTTGGGGAATGTAGCAGTGCTAGGCCTTCTCAAGGTCAAAAGCTACCAGAACCAAGAGAGCTGACATGTATGATGCAGACATTTGCAGATATTATTATAGGCAAAGGGAAGCACAAGTTCACGCAAGGGATTTTCAGGCAAATGATGTGACAGTGAGAGCTGGATCGGGTGGGAAAGAAGAAAGAACAGTGCACATCTCCGGCGGTGACAGCAATGGATAGAGCTGTCACTACAGGCATTTTTAGACATACCTGTGAGGCATACCTGGGAACTACTACGAAAGACTAAAGAATACTTTGAACAGAGTCAGTTTTATTAAATGGGCCATCAAACTATTACCTTAATTTAATCATTAAAAATAAATATAACCTAAATATTGAAGCCTAATTGACGATATAATTCTAAAGAGCATAGGAACAGAGAGAACTAATACTGCTGGCTGCAACTCACTTTAAAATGCATCAGAAAATAAGGAAGGTTGATGGGTAGATGGATGTATGGATGGAGATGGGTGGTTGGAGAGAGAGAGAGAGAGAGAGTAGGATAAAGCAGTTATTAAAAAGTATTTGCAATTGCGGAATCTAGGTCTTTAGCACAGGGAGTTCATTATTCATTATTTTCAACATTTCTTTATGATGGAAATATTTTCTAGAAAATATTGCTAAAATTGCAATGTTCTATAGCCATGGACTTATGAGATGTGCCACATTTGAGTCACCTAGGATTTAACTCTTTTTTTTAAACATTTGCAGTGATTTTTTTATTCTTTTTTTTTTAAAGATTTATTTATTTATGCATACAAGAGCTGGGGTACAGGCCAGAGATGCAGGGGGATAAGAGGATTCATAAGAGACAGAGCGGGGAACAGAACAGGCAGACTGACCTAAATACACTGCTAAGGGGAGCAGCAGGCAAAACAGGAGAGGTCTGCTGTGCCATGTAGGTTTCTCTCTGGCTGGCTGGGGATCGAATTCATGCTGCAGAGGCTGTGGACCACTTAACAGTGCAGTGCTTAACCCTTTGCGCCACCAGGGAGGCCCAGGATTTAACTTTTGATCCTTTTGTCATTAATCCTGGGAGCTAGAGCTCTCATTCCAATATTTTTGGGGGGCATCCTCTTTCTTTTTTTCCTTTCTCTCCTTAGAACTAAAGTTCTAGTTCTGGTTCTTCTTTATACCCTGGACCATGACATATTCCTTTAGACTATAAATTCTATTAGTGCTATAAAGAAAGTCCAAAAGGCTGGCATGGCAGCTCAGGTTGTTTGACAAGCCTGGAGATGGTCAGGATAACTTGGCTATGCTGAGGATTTTCCTCAGGGCCTCCTTCACTTCCTTGTTCCTCAGGCTGTAGATGAGGGGGTTCAGCATGGGGATCACTGTTGTGTAGAACACAGACACCACTCGATCCTGCTGTGAGGACTGGTCAGAGTTATCCCTCAGGTACATGAAGATGAGAGTGCCAAAGAAGAGCGATACAGCAGTGAGGTGGGAGACGCAGGTGGAGAAGGTCTTGGCCCGGCCCCCAGCTGAGGGGATCCTCAAAATGGCCACGATGATAAACAGGTAGGACACCAAGATTACCACCATGCAGGCAGGAATAACAAAAATGGCAAACACGATAATTACCATTTCCTGGGTATAGCTGTCCCCACAGGTCAGCTTTAAAAGAGGAGGAAGGTCACAAAAAATAAAGTCAATCTCATTGGTGCCACAGAAAGTGAGAGAGAAAGCCGAGACCGTCCGCACCAAGGCACTGAAGAAACCAGCCACGTAAGCCCCAGCCACGAAACCCAAACGGACCTTCTGAGTCATGATGGAGACATAGAGCAGGGGCTGACCCACGGCCACATAGCGGTCATAGGCCATGAGGGCCAGGAGGTAGCAGTCGATGGAGCCAAAGAAGGTGAAGAGGAAGAACTGTGCCGCGCAGCGGGTGTAAGATAGAGCCACGCCGCGCTCCAGCAGCACAGCCATCATCTGGGGCACAGTGACAGACGAGTAGCAGATGTCCATGAAGGAGAGGTGACTCAGAAAGAAGTACATTGGGGTCTGCAGCCGGCAGTCCAGGCGGATAAGGATAATCATGCCCAGGTTCCCCAGCAAGGTGATGAGATAGATAAAGAGAAACATGAAGAAGAGAGGGAGCGCCCGTTCGGGATGCTCTGTGAAGGCCACCAGGAGAAATTCGGTCACTAAGGTGAGGTTCTTCTTGGCCATGAAGCCAGTGGTTCCTGAGAAGGGAAGGATGAGAATCAAGTCAGGAGGTTCCAAAGAGGCTTTAGTTGTGTTTCTAGATCACACTTTCAGACAAGACGTGTGGACAAAGGAGAGCAGGTGCTGTGTGGGAGCTCAGAGATCGGGGGCCTCAGGGCCCACCGTCAAGGGAGCTGAAGTCTCCCCTCAGTGGCTTGTCAGTATGTCTGGAAAGCCAATTCAGGTAAAGGCTTTCAGAACAGGAGAAAATTCGCCACCTTTACTGCTAACTAACTGTGTGAGCCCCCTCAAGTCAACAATCACTCTTGACCAAAATCTCCCTCCTGCTCCATGTGGGCTCCTGCTGACTCCAGAAATACCCATCTCAGGGTCCTGTCCCTTTCTCCATGATCACAGCTCCCTTCTTACTTCAAATCCTCATCTTCTGCCCAGATCAAAAGAACAATTGTGGAATTAACAGCTCTCCTTGCCTTCAGACGTGCTCCTTGCCAATTCTTGCCCCTCTCGCTGGCCAGAATGACATTTCTCAGACTTTCACTTGATCACACTCAGTCCCCTGTTAAATATCCAGCATGGCGCCCACCACAGCTGGGGTGTGATCTAGACCCTGCAGGTGAGGGAGCTCCAGAGCCCTCCCCCTGTGTTCTCCTGTCCTTGCTTACGTCTTGCTCCTCACACCAACAGTCGCACACCCTCCCATCACATTGAATTTCCATCTACTTCTCTATTCTCCCCCCATGTCCCCTCAAATCCCTGCCCTGTCCACCAGACACCTATCGTTTCCCCGGCAGATGTTCCTGCCCGACTCCCACACCTTCAAACCTCACTGAGATCAGACTTTCTACAAGAAGTGTCTCTCAAACCAAACAAAGGGTCAAAGAAAAACTTTAAACTCGCCCTGAATACAGACCATTGATCTTAGGCATTCAGGGGGGTGGGGGAGCAGAGGGGTGAAACAGGAGAAAAAGGGGTGCAGGGAGAGTGTAATGGACCATGGTGGACTAGGGGTGCTTTGGTGGAATGAGGGCCAAACCTGGGGGGAGGGAGGGGAAATCCTCATCATCAAAACACTAGCAAGGATGCAAAATAATGGTATTTCAATAATAACTTTTTAATTAAATGATTCTTTTTTAATTTTTAAATAAATTTTTAAAAAAGAAGTGTTCTTTGAGTCTGTCTCCCTGGTCCGCGTCTGCGCCCTGGTGCTCAGGACACGGTCAGGGCTTAATATGTCTTGTGGAATGAATAAAGTTATCAAATGAGGTGTGAGCACGTTGCAAAGGAGAAGTCCCTGCACAAATGTCCAAGTGTTTATTTTTCTTTTTATAAAGATTCAAAGATGCCTGAAACCTAAAGACTCACTGAAATCAACCAACATTAACGAAGGTCATCAACCATCCCTGGGTTTACTCTTCCATTCTCAACTACTATAGGCTTACTAAATAGACAGCTGCTGTCTTCATTCAAGTTTTCCAAAAATAAATTTTATTGAGGGGATTGCAATTGTATGGGGAATATAAAAATAAAATTTTAAAATATAAATATAAAAACTAAAACCATTAAAAATAAATAAATTTTATAAGAACCCAAAAGGCAGAGAGACACTGTTCTCAATGATTTGCATATAAAGTCATTTAACCCTCACAGCCACTTGCTGAGGTAGGAACTTTGATTATCCTCATTTTACAGATGAGGAACTGAGATAAAAGGAGTGGGAGGGTCTTCTCTGGTGGCACAAGGGGTTAAGTCTCAGCACTATGAAGTTGTCCGCAGCCACTGCGGCCAGAGTTCAATCCCCGGCCAGGGAGTTACCCACATGGTGCAGCAGACCTCTCCTGACTTGCCGGCTGCTGCCCTCAGCAGTGTATTTCAGTCAGTCTGCCTGTTCTGCTCCCCACTCTGTCTCTGGTGAATCCTCTCAACCCCCACACATCTGGACTGTACCCCAGTTCTTGTATACAATAATAAATAAAATAAAGCTTTAAAAGAAAGAAAGAAAGAAAGAAAGAAAGAAAGAAAGAAAGAAAGAAAGAAAGAAAGAAAGAAAGAAAGAAAGAAAGAAAGAAAGAAGAAAGAAAGAAAGAAAGAAGAAAGAAAGAAAGAAAGAAAGAAAGAAAGAAAGAAAGAAAGAAAGAAAGAAAGAAAGAAAGAAAGAAAGAAAGAAAGAAAGAAAGAAAGAAAGAGTGGATGTGACGTGCCCAAGACTGCAGACGCGTAAAGGGAGGGATTGTCACTAGGAGTAAAACTGAGCACAGAGGCACTATTTATGTCACAACAGGAACTCACAGGCACTCGTGTCCAGTCCAGCAGCCCAACAGGACTCGGGAGGTGTCTAGCTGTGAAGCGCCAAGCATGAACAACACTGCAGTCTATTCTTAGCTGAAGGTTGCTGGAGGTGTTCGTGCTAATGGACAGAAAGTCCTTTGGCAGAGTGGCAGAGGGGTAGAGAAGACATCGGATCACCTTTCCAGCAATACGCTTTGGCATAAAGCTAAGCCAGAGTGAGACTGACATTGGGGAAGATGATAAATAAAAGAAATTGGATCTCATGATTTGAATTTAACACGAGCCAACAAAACTGGATCCATTTTCTCACCTGAATTCCACTTTACCTGACCAGTCCTCTTCCCTCTCTCGGTCCTCTGTTTTCCCTTTGCTGCTGAAAGGTCACTTCTCTTCCACTGCTTGGAGAAGCATCCAGATGGAATGGGGAGAAACCATTGCAGCAGGCAGTGGGTCTGTGGGGTTCTTGTCCTCCTATGGGCAGCTCAGTCATGACACTGAGCGAGTAACTTAATCTCCCAGAACCCCTGTCCTTTGCTCTCCTCCTGCAGGCCCCTTACCAAAAATAAAAGTGACTCAGCTGGGGACAATGGCTGAATGTTGGTCCCTGCACCATATCATCCGCTCGTCCCTTAACAGTGCTGGTCTGCCTAGGACTTCCTTTCTTCTCGCTCTTCTTAATCCTTCTCTTTGCATGATCAGCTAACTCCATTGAAGAGGCATCCCCCACCCTGGCTGTTGACAGCTACAGGCTGGGGTAGCAGGTGTTGGAAAACAGCCTCTGATGCAATCCCTTCTGGAGAAGACAGTAACAATCACCACAAAAAGTCTGAAGTCCCTAAACGATGGTGATGGTGGTCTCGAAGGAACAATTATTGTTCAGGTGGAGTCGGCACCTGGTCCCAGCCCAGCTCCCAAAGCCCTGCTACATGCCCCCAGGGGGAAAGAGGCATCCGGAAGCCTGAATCCCAAATCCCAGCTCTGTGGGGTTCCTAAGGAGTGGGGCGTCTCTGGGTTCCATCTCTCCTGTCAGAACAACGGCAGAAAGTGTGCCCGCTGCTGGCCCCAGGGTATGGCTGGAAGAAGGGTGGTTTGTGAGCACAGGGCTTTTACCCTGTTATCCAGGAGGACACACTGGAGACTCTGCACAGAGACCCCAACGAAGCACAAGGTTGCCCTTCCTGGGAGTCAGGTGTTGCATTAAGTCTCTCCCTTAGCTTTTTATTTTGATTTATTTCTGCTAAAAGCAAATGAAACTACAGAGAAAACAAAAGCCTGGGATGTCACCCAACAGAGAAATTGGCAACAAGACATCTTGTTGGCGTCATCTTCTCTGCAGCCTTAACACTGTAGTTTTTCTTTAGCCTCAAATTCATAGGCATTTTTGCTAAGTCATTGCATTTTAATATGTTAATTCAAGAAAGGAAATGAAGAAGGGAACGGAGAATAATGGTTCTCTTGGACAGTTATGAGAACTAAGAAAATGAGACCATAGTGTTCGTTGACACATCACTGCGCTAAGGGTTTTAAATGAAGAGCAAGAGATGCTAAATAAAATACATCCTTCTAGAAGAGAAAACACACACTCATCCACAAGGAGTGTGCATTTTAATAGGTACCATAATTACCCAGCAGACAGGGTAACAAGTACTAAGTTCCAAAAGGTGGTGGAGCCAATCCAATCTATGGGGATTCGTTGTAGAAAAATATTACTTGCCAGTGGGGTAGATCAGGGAGGACTGTCCAGAGGAGATGAACTTTGACAGTTTGGAAGCAGGTGAAGTAAGGGAAATAGTGGGCAGACCTTCAGGAAAGGGGACCAGCATGAGCAAACTCATAGGGGCAGGAGACCCCAAAGATTACTCTTGGAACAATGAGCAGGAATTTGGTGGCAGCACAGGATGGTTCTAGACAAACCCAGAACCTTATTTGCAGATGTTTTGATGACCTTCGTAATGAACAGTAAGGCGGCAGTATCACAGTCTGGTCAGAATCATATATGAACAAATCATATGCAGTAGCAGAAATCATATAGAGAAATCATATGTAGCAGCAGCTACTGGAGGAAGCGAGCCACCAAGTCAGTGCCTACAGCAGTGGGAGGTCCAGAAAACAGATTGATGAGGGCCACAGAAGCAGAGGAAGAGGTGAGATGGGACCTAGAACATGCAGTCACCAGCTTCTGCCAGACATCAGGCGGTTATGATGATGGTTCAAAATAGTGATTGAAACAGTCATAAAATAATCGCAGACATGTCTGAAAATCTGACTAATATGTCCAAACATGAGACCCTAATTTCAGTGGAATAATATTTGGGATTTTAAGGTCTCACTCCTTACCAACACCATCAATCCCACCACTGTCATCAATGACCACCCCACCTTCTCTGGGTCTTCCAACACTTGCTTTGCCTCCAGGATTTGGGAAGAGTGATTATTCTTCAATTATTCTTCAGGCACTTTCCCCTCAGGAGGGGCCTGAAACATCCTAGACCAAAGGAACCACAAGAATTTCTAAATAAATCTTTTATGTATTAAATAAATGATAGTCTTAGCGTTAAATTTTTAATTGCAAGAGAGACTAGGCAGAAAAATAAAAGGCTTTCCTTAGAATTCCCCAAAATGAACTTTTCATATACAGAGCAGTGCTGGGAGACAGGGTTTATGAAATTCACTCTATGGTGGATAAATTCTATTTGCTTATTTATACGATGAGAGTC